AGCAACGACGCTACTAGGGGCTGCTGGCCCTGCTACTAGGAGCAACGGGGCTCCTGGCATCACTACTAGCAGCAAGGACGCTACTAGGGGCTCCTGGCATCGCTACTAGGAGCAAGGATGTTACTGGGGGCTCCTGGCATCGCTACTAGGAGCAAGGACGCTACTAGGCTCTCCTGGCCCCACTACTAGGAGCGAGGACGCTACTAGGGTCTCCTGGCATTGCTACTAGGAGCAAGGACGCTACTAGTGTCTCCTGGCATCGCTACTAGGAGCAAGGACGCTACTAGCGGCTCCTGGCATTGCTACTAGGAGCAACGACGCTACTAGGGGCTGCTGGCCCTGCTACTAGGAGCAAGGACGCTACTAGCGGCTCCTGGCATCACTACTAGGAGCAAGGACGCTACTAGGGGCTCCTGGCATCGCTATTAGGAGCAAGGACGCTACTACGGGCTGCTGGCCCTACTACTAGGAGCAACGACGACTAGGGGCTCCTGGCATTGCTACTAGGAGCAATGACGCTACTAGGGGCTCTTGGCATCGCTACTAGGAGCAAGGACCTTACTAGCGGCTGCTGGCCCTACTACTAGGAGCACCGACGCTACTAGGGGCTCCTGGCATCGCTACTAGCAGCAAGGACGCTGCTAGGGGCTGCTGGCCCTGGAGCAACGACGCTACTAGGGGCACCTGGCTTGCTACTAGGAGCAAGGACTACTAGGGGCTGCTGGCCCTACTACTAGGAGCAACGACGCTACTAGGGGCTCCTGGCATCGCTACTAAAACCAAATGCTACTAGAGGCTCGTGGCATCGCTACTAGGAGCAAGGATGCTACTAGGGGCTGATGGCCCTGCTGTACCGGGAGCAACGACGCTACTAGGGGCTCCTGGCATCGCTACTGCTACTAAAACCAAACACTACTAGTAAGGACGCTACTAGGAGCTCCTGGCATCGCTACTAGGAGCAAGGACGCTACTAGGCGCTCCTGGCATCGCTACTATGATCAAGGACGCTACTAGGGGCTCCTGGCATCGCTACTAGCAGCAAGGACGCTACTAGGGTCTCCTGGCATCGCTACTAGGAGCAACGACGCTACTAGGGGCTGCTGGCCCTACTACTAGGAGCAACGACGCTACTAGAGGCTGCTGACCCTGCTACTAGGAGCAACGACGCTACTAGGGGCTCCTGGCATCGCTACTAGGAGCAACGATGTTACTGGGGGCTCCTGGCATCGCTACTAGGAGCAAGGACGCTACTAGGGGCCTGGCATCGCTACTAGGAGCAAGGACGCTACTAGGGGCTCCTGGCATCGCTACTAGGAGCAAGGACGCTACTAGGGGCCTGGCATCGCTACTAGGAGCAAGGACGCTACCAGGGGCTCCTGGCATTGCTACTAGGAGCAAGGACGCTTCCTGGCATCGCTACAGGAGCAAGGACGCTACTAGGGGCTCCTGGCATCGCTACTAGGAGCAAGGACGCTACTAGGGGCTCCTGGCATCGCTACTAGGAGGAAGAAGGCATTACTTGTCTTTTTTCAAAATGGTGCCATTTTACATCGACCATTTGAGACTGACATGTAAAGCAGTGGACATTCATCAATAGGCTGCCGACGTGTATGGATGAACCTTGTTGTATGCGAGTTTCTCCAAGAGAAAGACGTGCTTCCACCACAGCCAACCACAGCCAAGTGAGAGCAATAGCAAAACAAGCTGAATGCC